GGGGGGGGCACATCCCCTTTGATGCTGAGTTCTTTTGTTTCTTTGGCAGCTGAGCACTGGGGAGGGGGGGAATGAGGGAAGCTCCACCCACAGCACAGGTATGGTCAGTATCCAAGACCCCTCCCCCCCCCAGGATCAGGGCCAGTGGGAGCACACGAGGAGGCCGACGGCGGCAGGAGAGACCCGGAGAACTCACAATCTACAGCTCAACCCTTCCCTCTTCCAGCCCCTCTTGGCGCCAACCAAGCTCTCTGAAGCTGGATCACCTGTCTGCCACCATCCTCTACCCAGCAGAAGAATCCAAAAGAAGCTCCCCAAATTTGCAAAACGAAAGGCTCTTTTTTTGCCCCATTCCCAAGGTACAGAAATAAGCAATGCAGGGCTGTGGGTATATATCTGTTTACATGTGGAGGCCGCGGACTTCTGAAATGAAGATAAAATGATGCGTGAAACCCAAGCATGGAAAATGGTGAAACCCGAGCATGGAAAAGGATGCGCTAGAATGGATCGGCAAACGCGTGTGGACCACACCATAAGCACAAGGAGCATGCCCGGGGCTGTCTGTACTCTGTGGTGGGACTGAGGGTTGTCAGTCTGGGATGTTCTTCTCTCCCTCCTTCAAGGGGCTGGTATGACCCGTGCAATCTGGCCGCGCTTCTAAGGGAACGCCACCAGCTAGTTTCCTGCAAAACGTGTTCTCACAGAGACGGGAAAACATTCAGATCACATGCTGCTGTTAATCCTTAGTGGCATTTTGGTCTAAAAGGGGTTTCTTGACTTTAGAGGCAAAGCTGACAGGGTTTTCACCACGGAGACGTCAAGAGGTAGAGTGATACACCCACCTGCACCGATAAAAATGGCCCCCAGCAGCTGGCTGGCTCAGGCTGTGCCCCACTCTGGTCTCTCTCGCTCTCTGGTGTGTGACTATGCAGGCTTGTAAATAGCCACTGCCTGGTTGGCCCATGGAAACCATGAATCACTTCTGGCTGCCCAAGCAGGAACACCTTTGCAAATGCAAAGAGGAGGAGGAAGAGATTGGATTTATACCCCGCCCTTCACTTGGGAGTCTCAGAGCAGCTTACAAACTCCTTTCCCTTCCCCTCTCCACAACAGACACCCTGTGAGGTAGGCTGGGCTGAGAGAGCTCTGACAGAAACTGCTCTTTTTCAAGGACAGCTGTGCCAGAGCTTGTGACTGACCCAAGGTCACATCAGCAGGTGCAAGTGGAGGAGTGGGGAATCAAACCTGGTTCTCCCAGATTAGAGTCTGCACACTTAACCATTACACCAAACTGACTCTCAGAGTCTTCTTTCAAGGATAATCAAACAGGAATCTCTCTCTCTCTCTCTCTCTATATATATATATACACACACGCCTGCCTTACACTGAATCAGACCTTTCGTCCATCAAACTCAGTATCACCTAAGGCTGTCAGAACACCTCTCCAGGGTATCAGGCAGAGGTCTTTCACAAGACCACCTACTACCTGGTCCTTTTAATTGGGAGATGCCAGGGATTCAACCCGGGACCTCCTGCATGCCAAGCAGAGGCTCTTCCACTGAGTCACAGCCCTTCCCCATACCTTGAAGACAACCAACATTTTATTTCTCTATAATCTTTCATGAGGCAGGGCTGACTTTATCAGAGGCCCAATGGTGATGCTGGACTTCTGCTCTGTTCTGCTGATGAGGCCTCACAACGGTCCCTCTGGGATCCATTTAGGTTGTGGGTCTCTTCTGTGGAATGGATGAGCCAACAAGAGGTTTTTGTGAGCTTTCTGGGAAGGCTACGAGCGCCCAACTCAGCTCGGCCCAGAATTTTAAGAGTGTGGCTAAGCAAACTTTGTGGTGCCGTCACTGTGTGCCCTTGACGTAGCCAACACGAAAGCCATTGTTTTTGCAGTTAGATCACCCCTAGAAGCACAGATGAAAGGGGATCCCATGAAGATGGGATGGATCCCAACTAGAAATTCCATTCACAGAAGGGTTTTCGTGCACAGAAGCATGCCCCCCCCCCCGGCAACCCAAAATGCTGCTCCAGGGGCACAGGTGTCCCAACACAAGGGGGCAGTTTGAGGACTGCCACATTGGGCGGGTGGGGATCAGAGAAATCCTTGCATGCGTGGTTCTTTTTGATGGGATCCAACCCATATTCCTTGAAACTTGGCTTTGGTGGATCTACTAAACAAGCTAAGCTATTTTACCTTGAAAGAACAAAGACAGGCGCACTACTACAGAGTTACTGTGTAGCAAAGCAGTGATTGCAAATCAGCTCTGGACTCCTCTAAGGAGCGCTACCCTTTTCTCACCAATGGAAGCTAATTTCCTCTACCTGGAAAAAAGCTCACCAAACGAACTTTCCGGGTTGTGAGCGCTGGAGCTGCTTGCCAAGTCAAATCCTAAGGAAAGGCCATAGCAGAAGTGGAGTCGGTCCACATGTAGGCTACATGGCAGCATGTGGTGTGTGAGAGCCATGTGCCGCTTCATCTCAAGGACCCAGGAATGCGCCATCCTCAAAATACAGAAACATATTTATCTTCACACCCCGTTGTGTCCAATACCTAGCAGGCGTTTCCCCATTAAGCACAGGATGCCCAATTCTGCTCTTTTCACAACACAATATTTGGGACTATTTCCAAAACTTGTGCCAGGCGCAAACCAACCAAACCCTTATTTCTGGCTTTTTCTTTGGGCGTACCTTACTCCTGAGTCCTTGAGATGAAACAGCAGCAGCAGGCCACTCAGCAAGTCTCTTTCTCTTTCCGAGTCACAGAGCTGCAAAGCTCCCATGCCAATACTGCCGGGAAATGCAGTATTTGTCCCAACAGGAGCTGGCACTGACTAAGACTACACACACACACAGTGGAGCGGGGAATGAGACCACAGCAGGGTTCACAGCAGGGTAATGCTCACCCGCATAAAAGCTTCCTGTCCCCTCCCCAGCACATCATTGAAAATGTATCTAGCCTAGTCCTTTGTATACTGTCCTAGTTTCCCATGGACAGGTCATTGGTGATGCAGGAGAACTCTGAAAATTGTAACCTCCCATCTACAGTGTGAAGTGGTACAGCCCACCCTACCATTCCATTCTGCATGGCAATCCTCAGTAGAGTCACACTCTTTCTAACCCCGTTGACTTTCATGGACACAGAAAGGTACAACTCTGCTTAGGAGCGCATGGTAGGCCTATCAGGGGGTCTGTGTATACAATGATTTCATAAGCAAGATTTTCTGCTTGGGAAGCCAGCTGTCACTCAACCATATGGGCACCACTGCTTGCTTCTGAGTCATGGTGGAGCTAGCGGGTGCACATACACCAAAGCAAGCAATGTTCCTTTGAGCCATTGTCTGGCATGAGCTGCCATATCCCCCGATTCTTTTTTCGGTAGGTCCTGGAAAATGCTGGGCTGAATTGAGCAAAATGGGTCAGGTGGGATATAACCAATCCTTTCCCTGAGCCCTCATCTGATGACTCTAGCCAATTAAGATAAGACTCAGTTGTAGCCATGTTGGTCTGAAGCAGCTGAACATTGTTTGAGTCCACTGGTACGCCGAATAAAACTTTGCTGGTCTGAAAGGTGCCACTGGACTCAAACTTTGTTCTAGCCAGTTAAAAATATGTTTTGCCATCGGTTTGTTCAGCGTCAGAGCAGCACATCTTATGCACCCCCAGGATGAGATTTCCATGCAGCTGAAACTGTTGGGACCCGTAAATCGTTGGAACAGGTTGATTATGTGGGTATTGCTCATGCCAGTATTCCGTCTAGGCTACAGTAGTGAATAGTAGCCTCGTGACTGAGGCAACGCCTGTGCAGTTTCTGCCTTTCAGTGCCATAAGACTGATGTGGGATCTAGTCACATGGAAGGGGTAATGCCACAGCTCCAGTTACAGATCCTTCCTGTTGGCAGAGCAGTTTGTGAACTGTGTGTGGGATGAATAATCTGGAGGCGGCCTCTGCCACTGGACCAGGATTCACTATTAACATCCGGTCCTAACACGGTCATGTGACTCAGGCGCACATTCAAGGAGTGAGAACAGGAAGCCAGCGTACAGCACCACAGCTGCATGTGGTAACCAGCTAACATGACAGAGCAAGCCATTAACTGGCTCAGGTTTAAGAGTCAGGGTTGCATATCCCTTAGTTTCACCTAATTCATCATTGAACAAAATGGGCACCACCTACTGAAAATCACGGCTTTTGTTTCCAAAAACAGACAGCAAGTCTCTCACCCCTATAACTTCTAAAACTAATCTTGGTAAAACTAATCTTGGAAGTGTAGGGGGGGGGGAATGGAATCTTTACAGCTAGGCTGAAATTTACACGGGTAGCCGAATTTTAGCTTTGCTTGGGTTTTGTTCTTTGTTGCTGCTAAAATGCAGAGTACTTAACAACCCTGGGTAATTGCAAACACGCACAGGGCAAGCTGTTACTGCGGCAGGATGAGTGTAACGCGCAAGCATGCCTGAAGGGCGAAGGTGTGAAATGATGGCCACGAAGCAAACGTAGGAGAGAGGTGGTGGGGCAGGCGCAAGCTGCCGTACAGTTTGGAAGCGGGGGACTGACACCCTGTGATACAAAGCAATGAGAGCGTCGGAGCAAGCTGTTAGGTTGGTGGGAGAATGAAGAGATTATATAGAGGGAGTGCCTGGGGAAATGATATTACGCACACAGGTCCGTACGCTGTGCTGGTACCGGCTATCGGATGAGCAGAACCAGCAGACCGCTACATGGCAACGCAAGAGGAAAGTGCACAGGAGTGAGGGTGCACGGGCAGGCTTTGGTGAGCTTCTCAAAGCTTCCTTCTGCCAAGCAGGGAGGCGGGGATCCTCACTCTGCCCTACCTAACCCTCACCCGTAGGGTCTCTCCTTACAGCTTCCCCCGTGCCCAGCCCCGCAGCTGCACCCCCTCCACCTTGTATTTTTTCCCCCCTCTCCCCAGCGGTGGAGGTCCATTGTACATTCAGGCGAGAGGCTCCCCGGGGCAGGGCAGTTTCCCCCATCACCTCTCCAGAAAGAACTTGAGGGCTCGGGCGATGTTCATGCGGTGCCCCACTCGCGTCACGCCCAGGTCAATGAAATCCTCCTTGGTGAGGGACGGCAGGTGGGAACCGTCGATTTCGTTGTCCAGGAACCGATCCCGGTGCTCCCCCAGCTTCAGGTACTCCAGCCAGTCGGCCACGTCGTACTTGGTCCAGAAAGGCAGCGGCTTGGAGCCGAACGGCTTGTCCGTGGCGGGCGGCAGGAAGTGGGTGGGGGACAGGGAACGGCTGCCCGAGGGGAAGCCGGGGAAAGGGTGCTCGCCGCCGGACGTGGGCGAGCCGCGGAGATCAAAGACGCCTGTGTATATGGGCACCGAAGGCAGGATGGGGAGGGAGGACGGCCGGGGAGCAGGGCTGATCTTGTGCTCACTGGGCAGGGCGGCTGGGCTCGGGGCGCGCCGCAGGGCCGGGCGGATGTCAAAATCCACACTTTTGGGGTGCTTGCCCTGGGGGGACTTAGGCCAGTTGTGGAAAAGGCTGCTTACAGGCTTGGAGGAGATCAGTGACGGGGACGTCTCATCGGGGAGCCTGTGAGGAAAGAGATAAGGAACAAGAGAGGATTAGAACCCACGATACTCCCTGCTGGAAGAGACTGGGGGCCGGAGAAATCCAGCATGCAACCTTAAGCCAATTGTTTCCTTCCTCCTATCACACAGCCAAGTCTGATTCTGGAACAGGCAGGCGCTTCCCAGAGGCCGTGAGGTAGGCTTCTTCAATGCTAGGCTCCAAACTCAAGAGGAGAATTACATATGCAAAATGCATCGCCGATGAATCCTCCCCACCATAATTTGTTTTATTCCCAGAAGCAACGGGAAAGGACAGTTTGGGCCAAAGGTTCCGTTTTTGCACCTGGGGAGGAGGGTGGGAGACACTTTCCCACCAAAGAGCCAAAAACAGTTCAAAGAGAGCGGTGTCGCTCAGGAAAATAGTCAGCAACAAAAGAGACGCAACATCCCACTTCCTGCTAACGCCAAGCTGCAACTTCCTGTAGCTGCTTTGGATAGAATAAAATTAGGGAAACGTAAGTTGGCAAATTCCCCTCTCCCAAAAAATCTTTTGACTCAGACTGCAGCTTTGGATGAAGACTGTAAAAAGACTACTAAAAAGAAATTTGCACACTTGGGAAAAAACAGTTGACAAGGCTCAGTGTCAAAGGTACTCAGCCCTCAAAAGTCCTGGCCCCACTGGTGGACCTCCTGATGGCACCTGGTATTTATGGCCACTGTGAGACACAGAGTGTTGGACTGGATGGGCCTTTGGCCTGATTCAACATTGGCATCTCTTATGTTCTTGCAACGTATAACAGCAACCCAATCCGAAGGACCCAAGCAGGGGAGAGTATTTCAAAAATGATCATTTTAATTCCCTATTGGAAAGTGAGGAAGGGCATGATTATTGCTTCCACAAAAGACCGGGAGCAATGCTCCCTCTAAGCTGTGGAGACTTGTGAGCAAAAATTCCACTTTCTGAGTTACTGTCATTAAAGTTGTGAGCGAGCGATTTGGCTACTGCATAAATTTGTTTGCTCTGGAGCCAGCTTTCCTGAGCTAAGACAAAAATGTGTGAGCTGGAGGCTAAAAAACCGTGAGCTAGCTCACACTAACGCAGCTTAGAGGGAACAGTGACTGGGAGTGTTGTTTCCATATTGGGAATTCTTTTTAATAAATATTGAAAAAACAGTCCTGAGTGAAAACAAGAACTGTGCCCTTTCAAAATGATACATTTTGAAGCCCCTTCCCTGGTGAGGCAGCAGGAGCAGTGAGTTCGGGAGAGGTGCACCCGGACTCCCAGCTGGTCTCCAGCGCTTCATCCCTTGACAGGACCATTATTGTCCCCAGGCGGTGTAATATCAGGAGTACGAACACCTGAATACAAATGAGAAATAATCAGGGCGAGCTTTGCACTGATCAGATGTTGCCAATCCAATCCCAGAAATACTGGGCCTTTTTATTGGGTTGGCGATATCGAATTGCACACCTCTAGATCCAAGGGCAGGTTCCACAAAGGAGGCTCTTCTATGGGGCAGCCCTCCTCCACAACTGTGTGGTTTGCACAAGGAGCAGTGGAATCCTTTCTAGTGCCCTTGGTCAGATGTTGCCAATGGTAGGCATGGCAACGCTTTGGCATGACCAGGGGGGATCCAAAGGGCAAGCCATGGTAGGCATGGCACACAGACACTCAATGCACACTGGCTGGAGAATATCCACTCTGTGGTCTTTTGTAAAACCGGAAGGGGATGCTTCTTTTTGGCAACAAGAATTTTCCATAGGTCCATTTTCGAACAGTTGGTGGGACTTGCTTGCAGCCTCTGTCATTATTTCCCCCACTTCAGCTGACATTGTCACGGGCTATGACACTAGTCAGACACGGTCGTGTATAGGGGGCAACTGAATGGGAACACACGGTGAGAAAAATCACAGACTTGGCAAACGTAAGACGGGACAAGGGGTAGTTTCGAAACTCAAGCAAGAGTTCCTCTGACACTGAGGGACATGTGAGAAGTCTTCCCGCTGAGACTACTTATGATTCAGCTAGAATTCCACCCCACAGTTAAGAGCTTTGTTCTATTCCCATCATTCATCCCTATTCCAAGATCTGAATTTTCAAGAAAAACTTTTCTGACTCCAGTATGGGAAACAAAAATTTTCACTTTCCAAGACCCTACAAACTTTGGTTCTCCAGTCCAAATCAAGAACCCATGAGAAAGCGGCTGCAGCTAAGGGGTATAACACTTCCTTTGCAAGCAGAAGGTCCCACATTCAATCCCTGGCATCTCCAGTTTTAAAAGAATTCTGGTTACAAACAGTGTTCCCTCTATTAGTGTGAGCTAGCTCAGTTTTTTAGCCTCCGGCTCACACATTTTTTGTCTTAGCTCAGCAAGGATGGCTCCAGAGCAAGCTAATTGATGCAGGAGCCAAATCGCTCGCTCACAACTTTAATGCCAATAGCTCACCAAGTAGAATTTTTGCTCACAAGACTCCGCAGCTTAGAGGGAGCATTGGTTACAAATTTTGGGAAAGACCCTGGAGAGCCATTGCCAGTCAGAGCAGAAAGTGCTGAGCTAGACAGACCAAAAGACTCTGACTTGATATGTAAGACCGCGTCATCGGTCCACTCTGATTTCAGAAGATGCCAGTCTGCCAGTTCTTCTGCAAAAGATTCCCCTTCCTCCAGTTAACGGCATCTTTCACTTCCTGGCAGCTGGACTGGAATCTCTCCTGAAAGAGTCTAGGGTTGGGTTGTGCACCCTGAGCCACGGGACAAGGACGTGAAAAGCAGTGGTGGCAGGATGCGGTCACAGACCCAGGATCAGTTTAAAAAACTGCCACACGGGAAACTTTTTTCCTGGAATGCACCACCTTCAGGCTGAGGAGGATGGATTGTATGCCTGCATATTCCTTGCCCAGCCACCTGCATTCTTAAAACATTACCATGTCAGAGAGAGAGCCAGGCTGGAACCCCCCCCCTTCCCAACTCTGGGAGAAGAACTAATCTCATAAGAGCCCCCCCCGAATTTAAACCAAACCTATCAGAGTTGCCTCAAACCCAATTTGAATTTGAACTCATAAATAGCTGGTTACTGGTTCATATTACATATTGTTACATATTGATGGCACATTGTCCCTGACAAGGCAATTCTATTTGCACTCTTAGGACCTAAACTGGAAGATACATAATATTTCCAGTTTACACAACAACTTCTGACACAAGGCCATATATATTTGAGGCCCCAAATAGAATTTTTTTGGTGTGTCATTCTATTCCATATTGGAACATTCCAATTTTGGTCCTATTTTACTTATTTATTTTTAATTTATTGTTAATCACCTTACATGTCTTACAGGGACTCTGTTGCTTGTTATATTTTGCACTATTTGACCTTTGAAGAAGGCTCTTGTGAACCGAAGCGCGTCAGGTCACACACTGTCCTTTTGTGTGTATTTGTAACTTTGTACATTTTCGAAAGAAAGAAATTGCGAGTAGATAAATAGGTACCACTTCAGTGGGAAGGTAACAGCGTTCCGTGCACCTTAGTGTTTAGTCATGCCGGCCACATGACCACGGAAACGTCTTTGGACAGCGCTGGCTCTTCGGCTTTGAAACGGAGATGAGCACCGCAACCCTAGAGTCGGACTCGACTGGCTTTCGAGCAAGGGAACCTTTACCTTTTATGAGGCTTTATTTGGGCCCCTGCTGGGGTTTTTTATATGTCTTTGTAATAAACACTCTTTTGTACACTTACTTATGTTTTTAACTTTTGGCCCTCAATTAAGTTTTCTAAACTTCCTTTGTAGGTTTTTCCAAAACAAATTATTTCAGGCCCAGGAGGATCCTTGGAGGGGCTCTTTCTCTCCTAACTGTAGGGCGGGTGTGTAAAATACTTGCCTTTTCAGGAAGAAGGAGGAGGAGGAGGAGGAGTCAAGAGTCCGAGAGAGGCTTACAATCACCTTCCTCTCCCCACAACAGAGTGAATGAGAGCGAGAGAAAGGTGTGCACTGGGGGTGGAGGATTCTAGGATCGCTAGCTCTCATATCTATCACATTTTTTACCCTCAGCCTTCCTTCAGGACGTTCAGAGCATCAAAGAGAATCCTCTCCTCCTCCATTTAATAAACACCCTCCTAAGGCCTCATGTAATTCTTCAACAGGACTGCATTTCCCAGGCACTCTCTGAGCCGTCTGGCTGGCCCTCCCTGAAGAGGGGAGGCGTTCTTCTCCCAGGAAGAGCTGGGTGGCGGAGAAGCTGCTACTGGCTAGAGGGTATCCCTCGCCCAAGGAGGGTGGGTTGGACTCTGGATGGGCCAGGAATGGTAGGGACCCGCAAAGGAGCTGTGTTAAGAAGCTTTATCATTTTCCTGCCAGCTCCTCTACATGCTAATTTTGACCCTTGTTGGCTGGAAAGGTATCCCTGTTAAAGCTGTTGCTCCCAAGTCTTCTATTGGTTACTAACCACCTCGTTTAATAAAATAAGTTGGTTGTAATCCTGCCTGGGTCCTCACGCCTCAAGCTCGACCAGTCACTTGGCAATGCCCTCGCTAGTGGTGGTGATGTTTGGAAGGGTGAGGGGGGGGGGGTACTCTGGGCCCTCCCTGGTTTGAACATAAGAACATAAGAACATAAGAGATGCCAATGTTGGATCAGGCCAAAGGCCCATCCAGTCCAACACTCTGTATCACACAGTGGCCAGAAATACCAGTGCCATCAGGAGGTCCACCAGTGGGGCCAGGACATTAGAAGCCCTCCCACTGTGGGCCCCCCAAGCACCAAGAAGACAGAGCATCACTTGCCCCAGAGTCCCTATCTATACCTTGTGGCTAATAGCCACTGATGGACCTCTGTTCCATATGCTTAGCTAATTCCCTTTTGAAGCCGTCCATGCTTGTAGCCGCCACCACTTCCTGTGGCAGTGAATTCCAAGTGTTAATCACTCTTTGGGTGAAGAAGTACTTCCTTTTATCCGTTCTTGTATTGTGAGAAAGGGAGAAAAGTACCTCTTTCTCTACCTGCTCTTTCCCATGCATAATCTTA